CGCCCACGATATCGTCCTCTGTACAGCGAATTGCCATTAACTGTTGCAGCGACGGTGTTAATTACATCGACCAAGCTCGAAATGCAACGTGCACGCTGAATTATATCTGAACAGGATTTGCGAATCTTCAAATATATCACTTTAATGCTCAATTAGCTTCAAAACTAGCGAATATCTCTATAACTCCAACTATTCCAATTTAACATCCACTCATCGCTATAATTACGATAATGCAATGTTTACCAAATGATCGTAAACGTAAATAACGCTAAGCGATGTAACGTGATAGAAATAAATAGATATATATATATATATATAATTACGCTGTTATCTGAACAAAAAAAAACATTGATTTTTCCAAAATCAACTATATCTTTTCGAATAATTGCAATGGCAAAAATTCCGTAACCAGTTATTCTGACTGCCTCAACGGTTCATTTTAAGCCATAATTAAGATTAACTTTCGAAAGTCTCTTTAAACTCGAATCTCTAGAATATTGCACCTTGTTTCGCAAGATTTTCGCGACTAGTAACGTCACGGGAAGTAGTTCCATGAAACACTTTCGTTAACGCGGTGATCAGCGATCTTACGTATGATTTGCATTCGATCGACCTGTTTTCATCGGGTTTCGCAACTCGCGCCTAGGTGCATTAAATGCGAACGTGGAAATGCAACCAACATGCCTCGCCGAGAAACTAGTTAGCCTTAACCGTAGTGTTCGAGTTTCTATCCTTCTTGTCTGTCGTACTTTTCATCTACCTCTCACCTACATCATCGACAAAGCGTGTCAATGCCAAGTATCCTGCGCTAATGCACGCCATAAGAACGTTGGATATCCTAGCATCTTGCAGACTTTCGATTCGTTTAACCCGTAAATTATCACAATTGTTCCTCGTATCAGAGACGAGCCATAAGCTTCTACGAGCTTTCCGAGTGGAATCAGAGAATGATCGAGTTCTGTTCGTAAATGGCGATCCTTTTTCGAATAATTAGGTGACAAAATCTATCAACGACCTGGATAGTTCGATTGAGTCTAATGGGACACTCATCGGGCGATTTAGAGGTTAGGGTTCAAACTCTGTGGGACCAATAATGCGATCGATCAATTTTGTTCCTTGTTACAAGTGAGATTTGTCCACATGTATCAATTTTTCATTCGCTGCACCATCTGTCCAGATGACCGAGATACAATGATGATCCCTCGAGATATCGACATTATATAATTGATCGACGAACTGGAGTAACCAATTGATAAATAGTTCGACTAATTTCTTTCTTTTTTTTTTTTTTTATTACTGGTAACACCCGTTACGCAATTTAAAATTCGCGGGTGGTTATTAAACTCCGGTCACATGGGTCGTAAGAAAATCAAATTGCAGAAGTTTCCACGAGTTCGTGGATGCAAATTATTGTGAAACTTTCTGGTATCTTTCGTAAGGTTTCGAATCGCGGTGAAAAATTGCAGGACTTCTGACATATCGAAAGGTACGTTTTCCATCGTACGAAACGATTTATTGTCCATTCGATGGATTTCGCAAACGCTTAATCGGGTGTTTATTTCGTTTATCCTCGAACGTCCATCTATGGAGTAATACGCGGGAAAGTCGTTGCAAATTACATAAGAATCAATTTGATCGGTCAGAGTGATAAAATAGAAAATAAAAAATACGAAAACAGAAAAAAAAAAGATAAAAAAAGGAAAGGTTACGTTTTAAAACTATGAGATTTTTCTGTATTTAATGCACCTGGATTAAAATAGCAACTTAATTAGTATATGTATAACTTCTCGAGCCTGTCTGGAGTAAAAAAGACACTCATTACATTCAAATTATGCCATAAACACTTATTAAACGTCTGCATATGAATCGCGCATGACGTGCGTAATTGTATTAAATGCAATAATGAACGCTCCTTAACGGGCAACTTGTACAGATTTTTGTTTTATTACATGTTTTATTACTCTATTAACGCTAAGGATATTTACATCAACTGAAGTATTTTTCTCCCGGTTGTTATCTTTTTCTATAAACAGTAACGTTACGCGTACGATTTATTACGTAAACGTTAACAAAACGATACCGGTAGTGCATACTTTAGAAATACGATAAAATGGAAATGAAAATGTTTTCCCCAATTTCTAAGAAATTAATAACCTATAAAACTATTTTCTTTTATAATTATTCCTTTTAATCGTCGAGTGTCATTATATGCGTTACTTCGAATAAAAATATGTCAGATGGCGCAACGAATTTACGCGTTAATATATATTAATATGTTATGTTACAATTTATCGACATCACTCGAGGAAAGTTTGAAATAAAATACTGTAAAGTTTTCTATTTACATCAATACATCAAAATTTAGCTTTATGACGACAAAGTGCAAAAAGATTGGTTGTTTCTGAAAAGAATCTATTAATTCGTACTCTCTTATAGACATGTTAATAACGTAACAGACCATACGAATATATCGATTCAGATCAATGTTGCACATAGTTCGTAATTTGAAATCGATGGCGCTATATTCAAAGTTCGCTGAATGGAACACGTTCAGTATATTCCAGAGGTCACGAATAAACAATAAAAGAATTCGATACATACCTCCGTTGCGACTGACTATTACTGCAGGTATTAGAATATCCGGAATCCGAAACCTTAGCATTCTCAGTGGATACCTCTTCCATCGTTTTCTTCACGGAATAATGTTTCTTTCAGACGATATCCGCAGTGTCACAACACTGCTACTAAATCAAATGAACTCGATGTTCACCTGTCATTTCTATATTTCGTAGCGTAAAAGTAGTAAAAACAGATAAGGAAAAACGCGAAGGCAAACTGTCTATATGTACACGAACAAAAAGAAACAATTCTTTTATTTTAATGTACTGCGTTCACCATTAATAATTAAATTGAAAATGACGCACCATGTAATCGAGTATGGAAAATCAGTAAATTAATTAAAAAATAAATGTTTGCACCGATTTTCTACTAGTTTCACAATAATAATAAACACTACGGTGTGTTCTAGACGGCAACATCTATGAGAACTGAACTACACCGTACATCACATATCTATCGCGCGGAGCGACTGTTCCGCATCACGCTGCACGTTCGGTAACACGTGAGTTGCTACCCCCTCTATTTCGCTGTTAACCTATATCGATGTAAAACGTGCCCCACTTAAACTACTCGACGACGAACGTGATTAAAATAATCTCCTCCCCACAACTTTACACTTGATTCCAGCGCAGTTTACTGGCGCGAAAATCCTTCCTTACGTACGATTGCGACACCTGCTGGCAATTTCTTTCGATGCCCGCTTTCAGTTCAAATTTAATGCAATGGATTATATTTAGGAACTGATTAAAAATAACATAATATACTGGTTTCCTATAAAAGTTATTTTATTGCACATTTTATGAACATATCAAAGAAATATGCAAAAAATAAATTATAAACATCGTATACTTTAAAAGTGCAGTATAAAAGTGAAATGCAAATACAATAGTCTGATTGGCATAACAATATCCGATCAATAATAAAAAGGAGAAACTATATAAAATTATAATTTATTCTTTATATTTTATGTTTGATATACACAATGATAGTAATATCTTACTCTGCTATATCACAGTCATCAGGTACACATCTTTGAATCCTTGAGATATCCTGAAAGTTAAAAAAAAGAACACGTCAGGTTAATAAATTATAAAGATAGTGTGAAATAGGATATTCTGTTCAGTGTTAAAAAAAAATAAGTGGAAGTCAGTGTAAGGTTTTGAATACTTAATGTGTATTTTAATATCACCAAACAAGTCAGTTACAGTCTCCTAAAACATCATTGCGTATGGTCATTGAGTAGAACAGTCTAACACATGTACAAAAGTGTCCATTATAAAACGTTCATGTTGTGCGTCAATTATTGGTATTTGACGAATTGTGATCATGGACATAATATTAATTTCCTAAGAAAACGTATTTTTTTCTTTCTTTCTCTCTCTTTTCTTTTTTTCTTTTTTTTTTTTAAGAAATTTGATCTAATTGTAAAAAATAACATGTTGATATATTTTATGCAAATATATCTATACACGTGAACATATGTGATGTTGAAGCGTTTCCAAAACAAGATTTACTCATAATACTTCAATGGGAAACATAATAACCCTCCATTGTCCTATGTCTGTAATTATGCATATACATAAATCCATTTTATGTTTACAAAAATACATAATAAAATGTCATTCAATGTCAGTAACAATGTAATATAAGTAGTTACTTGCATCTCGTATTATTAAAATTAAAGTTATTATATACCATTATAGTATATAAGTTCTTTAGTTGAGAAATATAATTTTGATTTGCATAAAAATATGTTTTAAACATACATTCACTCTATTTATATTTGCAAAAATATAATTTTGATTCATATCGCACAAAATTAGAACATGTAAAATTACATCTGCGAAATATTCGGAAACAAAAGTATTATTTTACAGAATAAATCTTGTTTTGTAATTTTAATTCTATGAAATATGTTATCCATCGCGGAAATATTTCTTGAAACACATACAAGAAATAAATTACTTTACGTTTTCTTTCATACACACTATAGCTAATAAAAGAATAGTACAGAACTATTGGATATAAATTATAAACAAAAACTTGTTTTACTAATTCTAAAGCACAGATTATATTTTAAAGCCTGCGCGAATAGTTAAAATTAATATTATAATGAACAATAACATGCTTCTTGTTTTACAAACAAGAATATAAAATATTAAGACATAATTTTATTCCATACTTCTTTTTTTTTTTTTTCTTAAACATATTCGCTCATCTTATTCATTAATCTATAAAGACCTCATACTTTTCTTTTCAAAAATTAGTTTGAATAAACTTTCATTTTAATATGATTTTAATACGAAAGTATATGCATTGAGAAATACTCTTACCTCTGAGTAACACCTGTAGTATATTACCATACAACATTAAACGCCCCGAGTACACATTGCATCATATACTTCCTTGTGCTAAAGGAAGAAATTCCAAATTTAACTAATTTTGTGTCTTACATATTCTTAAACTGAATCTTTAAGATCACTTTTCGCACAGGCCTCTTAAAATAATAAAACCAGGAAGTCAGGTGTACGTGTAACGACATGTAAGGATAAAGTAAAGTAGCGTTAAAGTTTCAGTAACGTTGAAATCGCGAACGTAAGCGGTAGTTAAAAGTAGGTAGTTGGAGTAGTTTCCTTGGATGCGGGCCCGACGTGGTCAAGTGAGTCTTAAAATTCGTCTCTTTTATTGCGTGCGTCCAGCTTGTGTATACCAGTCAGTCTGTGAAGACAAATAGAAAAATTACATTTTCTCCTGTTTTCAAGTAAAGTAATCGTCAGTTACAACGTCGGGGTGTTAATATTTAAATGCCTCGCTCTTTCTCTCCTCTCTTTTTGCCATGTACTCAGCGATTTACTTACGAGGTATACAAAAAAAATTTAGTTTTCATCTTCGTCCGTTCGTAGTCGTTTTCTACGATCTTCACCGACGTTGCGTTCTTCTGCTTCTAATACCTTTAGTCGAGATCCACAAATTTCTTGTCCATGTAAAACCTACAAAATATCGTTTTATGGATTAATGGTTTTAAGTGTAATCTTTATATAGAAAAATTCATTAATGTAATATAAAACATGATAAAACATACATCAATTGCCTCATTTGCACTTTGCACACTAGCATACTTTGCATAACCACAATTTTTTCCTGGAAGCATGTAGACATCTATAAGATTTCCAAATCTGCAGAAAGCATCCTTCATAGCATATATGGGAGGTACTGGAGGTCCACATACAATGAAGCACCTTTTAGCAACCTCTGCATCTATACTAGCCATTGGTTGCACAGGTGGTAATTTAACACACATTGAATGCTCTAAATCTAATTATGTAAAAATGTAATTATATAAGAAAATCATACATTTATCATATAACAAAGACAAAATAATATCTCACTTGGTGCTGTTAATCCTGCAGCTTGAATTAAAGACGTAGCTTGAGCAATAGTTTCAGCTAAATGTGCTAAATCTGTCCTAGCACTAGCAATTCCACCTGCAGAACTTCCAGGTTTTATTGCACTTTTTGGTGGTGCACTTGATAAATCTGGTTTTACTATCATCCTATGACCAGGAGGATATTCAAAACCATGAAATTTTTCTCTTGCATATGCTGCTGCACTAGGGTTAGAATAAACTACAACAGCTTGACCTCTTGGCATTCTATACCTTACATCATTTTTTAAATGACAATAATCTAACCCAGGTACAATATCAAACAATTTCCATAATTGATCTTGATTCAATGCTGGATGTGCAATTACTTGCAAATGAGTATAACCTTCAGAATTTGGATAATTTGTAGCAATTTCTAAACTAATACTGCTCTTTCCAAAGTTTGATGAACTATAACCTCCACCAGCACCATCATAATGAGAAGATAGTCCATTATTATATTTTACATCAATGTGTTCAGGTTTTGGTTTTTTTGGTTCGGCAAATACAGCTTTATATTTTCTATCACATTCTTCAAATGCTCTTGCTGCACTAGATACTTTTTTAAATTTCACATAACCAAATCCTTTTGATTCATTTGTATTTCTATCTTTAACCACTGTTGCATATTCAATTGGTCCAAATTTTGAAAATTCTTGCTGTAGTTCACTATCTGTCATAGACTTGGGTAATACACAAAATAGACGAACCCACCTTTCTTCTTCATTCGTCTCTCTAACAGATCCTTGATCACGACTGTAACAAATATCTATAATTTTATATTTATCAACAAATAAATACTTATATATTAATTAGACACAAATTTATTTCAAAGACATAAATAATTATTCAAACTCTTACTTTGAAGCAATCATTACTTTAATAGGTCTTCCAACAGAACCCAACATTTTTCCATTCATTTCTTCAAGGGCAAAAGCTGCCTCTGACGTTTTCGAAAATTTAATGTATGTAACTCCTACATAAACAATATGCATTACTTTTTAAATATTTAAATAACGCATAAAAACATGCAAATATATAATATGCATAAATAAAAAATATGCAAAAATTTATGAATGTGTAAAAAATGTTAAAAAATAAAATGAAGCCTTATTGATTTCTTCAATATACAAAAGAAATTACCTTTATTTTCCCCTGTAATTCGATCTTTAACTACCCAAATATCTTCGATCTTTCCAAATTTTTCAAAAGCTTTTCTGAGGTCGTCTTCTTCCAAACTTTTATGACATATAACAAATAAACGTGAATTCGGTGGATCATCATTTTTTGATCGTAAATCCGTTTGCGAATAGTATGAATCCCTTTCCCTGTGGTCAGCCATTTTGCAAATGAACGCTGCAGACTACGTCGCCCGTCTACGGTCAGTAAAGCCGACGCGTTCAGGGACGGCTGAAATAGGGTTCTATAATATCAATTTCCTAATAATAATTTTCACAGTTTAATTGACCAAACATATTATAATGTTAATTACACGCTTTTCTTATATAAATTTTCATAAAATTACAATAAAAGCTTCTCCCATACTTCTAATTAATTTTAATATTTGTTAAAATAAATTAAATTTTATATTATTAAATTATAAATATTGATTGTTTTATAATATATTCATATAAATTTAATATACTTTAACATAAATAAAAATAAAAATATCTAATTGTGTTAATTACATGTTCATTAGTTTTATGAAGTTTTATTTAACTTTGGTGACTCACGGCGCGAAATTATTTTTACTTGGATTTCCATTTTAGTCGATATAGGTTTTGTTGTAAGTCTAAGTATTATGTTCTGATTAAACTTTTTAGTTTAAAGCTATCTAATAAATTTAATTACCATACTAAAGAAAATATTTACAATTCCGAAGTACCTTGTTATTTAGAATTGAAGTACAATAATAATTGTAACAACAGATAGGTTAGATTAAATTACTTCCGCATTGATTTCACAAGACTTGTTGAGCGACTTAACAAGTCATGCTCTACTATTTTCTCGTAATACAAACTTTCTTATATGAAAGAGACATATAGGTAGCCATATATCAGTAGTTTTCATACCCTGAAAATATGCTATATAAATTTTTGTCATTGACCTATTACTTTTATTTTATATGAAACATTATACATTATTTTATGCATTTTTGTATTTAATAAGATAATTTATTCTATATGATTTAGATAAATAAAGAATAAATAATAAATTTATTTTTTAAAATATATATATATATTTTTTTTTTTTAATAAACCTGTATCCTTTAATTAAATGAAATTTTTTTTTATAACTTTTTACAAAATTTTATGTATTATTAGATATAATACATATTAATACATTTATCATTAATAACATTAACTTCAATTGTAATATTAACTTCAGTTGTATATACATTTTGTCACCACAAAATTGTATTAGCAATTTCTACACATCATATGTAGAAGCAGATACATTTCCACCATGTCCAGTCCAATTTGTGTGTACAAATTTTCCTTCTTGACCAAGTAATTCATAAGTATGTGCTCCAAAGTAATCTCTCTGAGCTTGAAGTAAATTTGCTGGAAGTTGAGCAGTTCTATAACCATCATAAAAAGCTAAAGCAGTTGATAGTGCTGGTGTTGGTATGCCTAATGTTACAGCTGCAGATACTACTATTCTAGCACTAGCTTGACATTCTTTCATTGCTTTAGCAAAGAAACTATCTAGTAATAAATTTGAAAGTTTGGGATTTTTTTCAAATGCTATTTTTATATTTCCCAAAAAGGCACTAGAAGTAAAAAATTATGATAAAATATGGTTATTAAAATTATTATTTAATAGTACTACATTTCAAAAAGAAATATGTATACCTTCTTATAATACATCCTCCTCTCCACATAAGAGCAATACCACCATAATTTAAATTCCAGTTATAAAGCTTTGCAGCTTCTCTTAATAACATAAATCCTTGTGCATAGGAAATAATTTTAGAGGCATAGAGAGCTTTTCTCAAATGCTCTAGAAATTGTTTTTTATCACCTTGATATGTAGCATTAGGACCTTCCAATACTGAGCTTGCTTCTATTCTTTCACTCTGCAAAGCAGAAAGGCACCTAGCAAAAACTGACTCTCCTATTAAAGTTACAGGTACTCCATAATCTAATGCTGCAATAGCTGTCCATTTTCCAGTTCCTTTTTGTCCAGCTGTATCTCTAATTCGCTCTAATAAATATCCTTTTTCATCCTTGTACTTAAGTATATCTCTAGTAATTTCAATTAAAAATGAGTCAAGTTCTCCTTTGTTCCAGTCATTAAAAACATTACTCATCTGTTCTGGATTAAGTTTTAAACCATTTCGCATAATATGATAAGCTTCACAAATAAGTTGCATATCACCATATTCAATACCATTGTGTACCATTTTTACAAAATGTCCTGCACCTGTGTTCCCAACCCAATCACAACAAGGTTCTCCATTGACTTTTGCACAAATTGACTAAAAATATATTTTGTTACCAATACAGCTAACCACTTATTGTACTAAATCTACTATACTAAATTTTTAAATAACTAATTATATTTGAACTAAATACCTGAAAGATTTGTTTAATATGTGGCCAAGCCTTAGGATTTCCACCTGGCATTAAAGACGGTCCATATCTAGCTCCATCTTCACCTCCACTAACACCACTACCAACAAATAAAATTCCTTTTTCTTCTAATTCCTTAGTTCGTCTATTGGTATCCTGGTATTCAGAATTACCACCATCAATAATAATATCTCCAGGAGACAATAAAGGCACTAATTGTTCAATAAATGCATCCACAGCACTACCAGCTTTAAATATAATATATTGTTATATGTGATTATTTTAATTACATTAAAAAAAAATAAAAATTGTGTATTAAATATTGTATTAAAATTGTTTACTAAATGGCTATTATATACATGCTTTTAGATATTATAAGAATAAAATAAATAATAATTTTCCATAAGGTCAAATTATTATTCTGAAACTTATAATCCATAACAGAAAATTACCTTTTACCAAAAGCATTACTCTTCTTGGTGATTTCAATTTATTTACCATTTCTTTTAATGAGTATGCACCAATGACTTTTGTCCCTTTAGCTTCATTTTCCAAAAAAGATTTAACTTTATCTGTTGTACGGTTGTAAGCACATACAACAAAACCATGATCATTCATATTTAAAATTAAATTTTGACCCATTACAGCCAACCCAATAAGGGCAATATCAGCAACTCTATAAGGTAAAATATGTTTTTCATTAAATTTGATGTAGCTTAAAAATATATATTTTAATATATAGATATAATAATTGCATATATTTTTTAAATTAATCTTAATATAATAAATTTCTACTATTTACTTTAGAGAATTATTCAGTTAATTGCCTAATAAGTAATTAGTTTACTACTTATTGACTGAAATGGACTTGGATAAGGATAGTTACATAAACTGGATTATCAAAAAAAGATATTTAAATATTCTATATAACTTTAAATCTAGAATTTATTGAGTATAATATAAATGTTACTCACGGTTGACTCATTTTAATAATTTTGATCGAGTTTTTAGTAATAATATATTATTTGTTCCTTTTAGCGTAATATCAAGAAGCAACAAGTGGCCAACCGCTTCTACCACGAAGATCAAGAGTGAACAATCATTTTCGAATAACTTCGGCATCAGCCGACGTTTCGTAAGCCAATCGCAGTGCACACCAAGGTCAACATGAACTCGACACTTTGTGAACGCAACACTGTTATCAAAATTTCATAATTTTAACATTATTTAGATATATGACGTAATATTATACAATAACTAAAATGATGAAAAATTCAAACATTATTTTATTATTTAATCTTCTCGAGAAATTAGCCTTTAAGAACATATTTTGTTAAATTTTTTTATATTTATTATTTTACATTAATATTACTATAAATAAAATTTTATATTACAATATAGAAAAATAATATCTAGTTAATCTTAATTAATTTGTCAAAAAATTATATTAAAAAATTTATAATTTTTGAGACGATGTATCAAAATTTTTATCTTTTTATAAAATATCATAATGTTACTATTTAATACAAATATATCATACGATAGACAATGAAGTTATTTTCATCAAAATAAAAATATTAATATTTATAAAATACTAAATTTATTTCAATATAATATTAAATAAGATAATGCTAATATATGTATATTATTTAGGATTATTTAAAATTTGTATTATTATATGAATTTTGTTTTATATTTTTATTTTTTTTATATCTAGTTTTTTGTTTTCTTAGAAAAACGAAAATAGATAATGATTCATCAAAATCAGCTAGATAATCTGGAACTTATATGATGAGGCTAACTACTTCAAAATAGATTCTTGTTTTACGCGCGTTTAACTGAAAGTTCTTTACCTCCAATCAGTGTCCATATATACAAGACTGACATCACTTTCAGTTATTGCTAAAAGATGATTGGATGGATCGGACGTATGGATGTTTTAATTGGAAACACAACATGTCGCGATTTGCTTGATTAGATTAGGGAAGGTCTTCGTATATTTCTTTCACTTTTGGGTTATCCTTAGTGTATTTTCAACACTTTATAACTGTTCTTAAATACACATTTTACATTATAATGTGTCAATAATGACGCTAATTTATCACAAACATATTGTGAAAGAACTTAATAAGAAACTGTACATAACCCTTTGACAATGAGATGCCCCATTTCTGAAACCAAATATATCCTTTTTATCGAGAAAAAGACTGTACAGGAACACGATTAAATAAGTATTAGCATTGAGTGGTTTAGTGTCTTGACCAATATGGGACTATTATTTGCAAAATTGTGGAGTCTTTTTGGCAATGAAGGTAAATTCAATATATGTTGTGACAATATTGTATCACAGTTATTGCAGTGCTTTGTGCGTGGCGTAGTATAAGTAATAATACTACAATATACTTGTATTTAATAATACGTGAAGAGGAAAACTTTTTTTTTTTGTATTAAAATTGTATGAACAAAAACAATGCATTTTTACTTTGACAATATATGCAAATGGTTAATAAATTTTAAAATATTTCTTGACAAATACAATTTATTATATATAAGAAAATAATAAGAAATTTAATTAAATATATCGAATCTATATAAATTTCATGATTGTAAGTTTTACTATTTATATATTCAGAAAGTATTTCAATAGAATAATTTCCTTCAACCACTGGATATCTAATGATAATTATAGTGATAAAAAATAAAAAGTTTAAAATAAAAAAGTTACATATTTAATAGATGTTGATAAAGATAATGAAAAAATTAAAATTGACTTTCATGTGTTTGTTAAATAGTATTGTAATTAATGCATTTTGAAAACTTATTGAAGTTTTCATTGTGCTACTTTAAACATATGTTAACATATGCTTTCCATAAATTTTCCTTTTATAATATGAAAGAAGTATTTAAATCTTCTGTGAATTTAAAATGATTCTCATAAATATAATTTAAGTTATACAATTGTATAATTATAGCTTAATAAATCTCTATTGAATTATAATTTAATTCTCTTATTTTTCAGAACATAAAATAGTTATGGTAGGATTAGATAATGCTGGTAAAACAACTATATTATACCAGTTCCTAATGAATGAAGTTGTTCATACATCACCAACAATTGGATCTAATGTTGAAGAAGTTGTTTGGAAAAATATTCATTTCATAATGTGGGATTTGGGTGGACAGCAAAGCCTGAGAGCTGCATGGTCCACATACTATACTAACACCGAATTTATCATTATGGTTATAGATAGTACAGATAGAGAAAGACTTGGTGTAATAAGAGAAGAGCTATACTCAATGCTAAATCATGAAGAATTAAGTAAAGCCAATGTCTTAGTTTATGCTAATAAGCAAGATTTAAAAGATAGCATGACAGCTGCTGAAATTTCTAGACAATTAGATTTAACTTCTATTAAGAAACATCAGTGGCACATACAAAGCTGTTGTGCTCTTACAGGAGAGGGGTAAGAAAAAAATTTGCTCATGTAAAATTATGCAGTGCCATAAATTTTTTAAACAAAGATATTCATTACTGGTAATCTTTCAGGCTTTATCAAGGTCTTGAATGGATTGTTGGACGCTTAAAAAAGACATGACGTACATTATGAGGATGGATTTTGAATGTAATAAGATATCTAAACTGTAAAGTATATGTTCAGTGTAAGTTACTGTGCCACTCTAACAATTGTACAAATGATATAAGAATGAGTGATCATTTCTCAAATGGTACACTAGCTTCATACATAACTTAAAATGTAACTGCATATACTGATTAAAATTATCATTGCAGACAATGTATCAAGTGGTGGACGGGTAAATTTTATCTTATCTATTAATGTGATATAAAATATAGTGGCAAATGATTATAATATAAAAGTAAAATAATGTTTTAACTTTCTCTGTGTAAAATATACTTAAAACATCATGTTATAAGAAACTGAAAAAAATTTAGAGGATCAAGAGTCTTTTATAGAAAATATTGTTGCATTAAGAAAACTATCTATAGTAAACAATTTTTTTATCTGTGTATAAAAAGATATATATTATAAACCTTTTACAGCAGGACTGCCAAATTTATCTGTGAGTACATATGATTATTTATAGCTATAAACGCTACATTGAAATTGCAGTCTGAAATGTATTAAATTTTATTTTTGATTCACTAACATATTTAATGAAAATATTGCATGCATATTTCAAGGATAAAGAATTTAATCTTGATCCCGTCCACCTGTGTTTATATAACAAAAGAAATAGATTATTTATTCATTCTACTCAGTTAATGTGCGGATAAAAATTGTTTGGCCTGTGCAATTTCCAAAAATATACCTATGTACATAGTTTTTTATACTCCACATTAATAGTATACAAATGTAAAAAGTCACCTTCGATTTAACACCAACTAAACCACATATTTTTCAACTTTCCGTATAAGAATTAAAATATTTCTTAATGATTAATACTGCAAACATCTTCAAAAAATTTCAAAGCAATTCAACCAGTCTTAACTAAACATTTGAAGGCAGAAAACTGCTCTGTGATATGTGGATTCAACAGTGAGATGGTTGTTTATTGGTAATATTCAATCTGATTTCTATATAAAATAGATAATTATATATAATAAAGGTGTGGTTTGCATATAAAGTTCATTTAGTTACAAAAGCATTTGTAATGTTCATAAATATGTAATAAACATTTTTTTAAATATTATTATTCTCTAAGCATCCAATTGACAGCTGTCTCATTTAATTTACTTACTTACGTAATTAACTTTTATGTAGTTAGAAATATTCCAGTATTTAATAATTATTAAAATGTAAAACATTAGTGATATATTGAGAAGATGATTCTAGAAATTGTTAAGATCATTGTATGAAAGACAAGCCAGAGTGAGATCATACATTTAACATTTCATAAAAATAAACAGTAGTTTTCTCATATTGAGAAATAAAGCAATTAATTGTCTTAACTATGACATATTACTACAGATACACAATATTATATATTCCATCGTTAATGAAATTTTCGTTGTATAAAAATTTTTAAACATGCAGTACAAGTTACAGGTTGATTTATTCCATTAAAACTATACAATTCACATAAATTAAATATACATACGTGTGCACATTTCTGCTTCTTATATAGTTTAATTTTATTTGAACTAAATTAAAAAAATCATTAAATTCAGACATGTTTGTTTTTAATTGATTATTGTTAATTGACTTATATAGTAGGTATAAAATGTTTATGTATAAGGTTGTTAATTAACATAAGAACTGAGATTAATGTAAAATAAATTCATGAAACTTTCTTTTATGAGAAGTAAACGAAAAATTACTTATTGTAATATGCGATTTCCTACTCCCTTGATTATTTTTGTTTCTGCATATATTTTATATTGCTGGACTTAATTAATTAAAATTACAACGTAACACTACAAGATTATAAGAAAAGTTATGTACATGCTATATTAGTTCAAATAAATGAACATTAAATTTTTTACATTTTTGTTCTAAAATGTTTTAAAATTCTAATAAATATATTTTATTTGCCCCCTTGAATAAGAAGTTAAATATTTAATAAAAGTGGAAAATAAATAAATAAAAAAAAAAAAAAAAAAAAAAAAA